GTAGATATATCGTCTAACGTTTGAAATACGCGCTTCGATGCGCGATCTAGCTAGCCATTATATAGCCAGCCATGGAACTCTCGTCAATTCGATGGCATTCGCTGCACTCTTCGGTGCCTGACCGAGGCCCGTACCCCTTTCCAATCTTCGTGGTTCCAAAGTGCAAGTTGTAAATAGGCTAGGATGGCTCGTGCAGATACAGCCCTTGTGTGCTCGCTCCCGCTCGCATACAGTCTGGCAGTGGCTACGCCAGACTAGGCCGGAACATGCAAGGCTGACGCGTGAATCTATTCGTAATGATGATTACGATTCTTCTTTCTTATTAGATTCAGGTTTCAGTGTCGTGTTTGATAGTTCCAATAATGAACAAGTAAATCTGCGAATTTAAAAAAGAGGCACATAATTATTATATAGGGATGGTATAAAAAGAAAGAGAGACCCCATCACACAAAATGCCATTGTTGCCTGGTGTGCTACTCTTATAGGGAATGTCAGGGTTTTCGTTTGGAATTTGGGGGGGGAAGTACCACTCACTCATCAGTGCTGGAGCGGAATGAGTTAAAAGTAGGCGTCAATTTCTAATTAGAGATCACTACCACATGCAAAGATATGAATGTATTATTACCCACTGGAAAGAACAAAAAAGTGTCGAATTGTGTTGTTACATTATGTTGTTTTTTTATTCTCATTGTACATTAAAATTTATGGGCCCCCTGCCCCCCTGTAGATGAAACCCTGAATGTGGCATTATATAAGGTTACTAAAATCAAGCATTCTTTCACGGTGTCCCTGTTGTTTTTAGTAACTTTTATACTGCCACATTCCTACTCCACTTGTACTCCATAACGGTGTTGGTTAGCATGACTTTTTTGTATTATAAGTTCTGAGTATTGTAATGGTGAATGTTTAATACTTCACGTAGGCAACAATATAGGGATTGTGTGATGGGGTTGGAGGTGTCAGCGTGCTCAAATCAGTTCATTGACCATGCTTCATGTATCCCATCCCTCCTTTCTTTTTATACCTTCCCTATAATATGCTTCTTTTTTTAAATTCGCAGGATTTTTAATTTACTTGTCTCCACTCATTATAGTACTATGTATATTATAATTATAGCTATATCGCTGTGAAAGGGGGCAAGTCCCCTATAAAAATTAATAATAGAGAAAAATGCAAAGGGTTGGACTGCAACTACAGTTGTCAAGCTGGACCCTGAACACTAAAAACTTCTGGCTTCTACTGCCCACTTGTTATAATTATACTACCTATATACCCCTGATTCGCCTCCACCTTTGACTTCAGCTGGATATATAGCTAGACCTATCCCTAAAGAAAAAACTTTTCTTCATAATTCACAACAAAGCATATTGACTCGTTTCCTATGCACGTAAGACTGGTAGCAAATGACAGGTCCTCAGTTTTGAGAATCGTGACTGTGTTTACTTCAATGTTCGCTCAACTAACCGGTTTTACAATGCTGCTTACCCTACAGGATTCGTTTGCCACGTCTTCACACTACACTATTCAAAACTCATGTCCTGAGTAAGAGTGGTGATAATAATTATAGGGCTTGTGTGGAGTAAAATTTACATGAGCAACAAATGTCAGTTTGAAGATGTAACAATCATCCCATTGTACTACTGCACCACATGCCCAAGTCATCCCTGTCTTGTCTCCTTTCTTTTTATGGCATCCCTATATTATTCCACACTTTTTAATTCGCAGAATTTTTTTTATTTACTTGCACAATTATAACTCCATTCATCATTTTTTTAAGTTTACAATATGTATAGCTATAGGGAACGAGAGTCTAGAGCAAAACATGTTCACAAGAACCATGCTTTCATTTCTTTCAGTACTGCCTCTTTTGCACTCAATATTGTCTTAGAACCAATAGGATGGGCATTGTAGAGTGTGTTGCGAGACATAGTAGGTTTGCAGCATCCTGCACGACAAAATACTTGCGGTGGAAATACGTAGATACGAATGTCATCTTCTCCTCGCCCCTCCCACCCTTCTTTATTGGTGCACATTTTGTTTACAGGGGTTTTCTCCTGCCACACAGAATTCATCTGCAGTAGGGCGTTGTTTAAGGTAACTTGTTCGTCCTTTTCTGACAGTGAAGACATGTGCCTCCAAAGGGACTCTGTGTAAAAGAAATGAACCACACATGAATGTATTATACTACTTGTCGTGGTAAATATTGGTGTCTGAAGAGCTGGAATAAGTGCATCATACAACACCCATTCGGCTCCTTGCACTGATAAAGTCAACTAAAACAGAAATTTAATTGCATTTTTGCTCTCGAAATCCGTAATAATTAACAACAGTGAGGCACATTTGCACAAGTCTCAAGCCTGCCAGTCCAACTGGCACAACGTAAAGCAACTCAAACACACACACTGAGACTCAATCAAGGTGTTTTACTAGCTGGCTACCTAAAATTATAATACCTATAGCAGGAGAAGCCTTGAACATCAGTGTACCAGTACATAGTGTAAATCCCCACTCTCCTGACAGGTCAAATGGGAATGTACCAGCGGATGAGAAAAGGTTGATGTGTGGTCTCTCGTCATAGAGCACTTGCGGATTTTTTAGCAGAACAGCATCACTGTCATACGATGCTACATCGTATCCCCAGTAGTTTATTACCCGCAGTATTACATTGCGGACCATTGATCCTTGTAACCATATGATTGGGATTTTGTCGTTGATGTTGTTGTTTATGATGTCGATGTTGAAGATAGTGTTTTTTGCAACAGCCACACACGAAACAGGCAGTGTCCTACTAGCTATAAGATCACAGAGCCGGTTGTCGAGAGAAAGAACCAGTACATTGTGAAGAGGAGGCTGTATTACGTTCACAGCAGCAGTGATCCAGTTGAGAACTAGGCGACTGTGTTTGTAGTCTCCAAAAACCATGTTCACATGTGGACTGACACTCTTGTTTAGAGTTGAGAGGTAGTTGTGGAGTTCAAAGACCCACTCTTTCATCTTCTCCCTTCCTCAGATATGGTGAAAAGGGTATCGAACTATATTCTGGTAGCAGTGATACCACCTGCTCCGAGGTTTTGTTGCCATTCTCTGGAGCCAGACGGAAGATCGCTGGACGCATCGCGGGACCGGGCGCGGGACCGGGTGGCATTGACGCGGGACCGGGCGCGGGACCGGGTGGCATTGACGCGGGATCGTTCCTGTAGAACAGTGACACTCTTTTTCTCGTGGATACAGATAATATCCACCACAATCCTAACGAACAGAGAAGCAACAGGCACAAGACGACGACTCTCAGCAGACGAACTGACATTATGCTACAGTGTGGCGTTAGGCGGGGAGTGGGGCGGGGCGAAGGCGCGCGCTCGCGCAAAAGATACCGGGTGAAGTCATTGTTCAGCTAGCATTATAGACACGTTATTGTTCAGCACTGAGAGTAGTCTATGTTAGGCATTTGTAGCCTCCTCGGGTGACGTCTAGCAAATTCGTCTACGACTAGACTTGCATTTCGAACTGCCTGCGCGGGTTCGGTGCTTGCGCGGCTGTGCCACGCCCGTTTTTACGCTCGCGCGAAGGTACCAGGTCGCCTCAGTGAGCCTAGTCATGCGAGCGACTAAGTTTTGCATGTTGCGCAAGGGGGGTGCTGGAGCACCCAAAGCACCACCCCCTGGATACGCCACTGCTGCTAGTCCGTCACTGACAGGGGTGCCGATTTTGCATCATCAGAAAAATCACAGCGTCGATGGGTGAATTTCAGGCGTCAGCGCTTGTCGCTTTCCAGTTCCAGGCCTGCTGAGGTTCTTGCTCTGGCAAAGCCGTATCGACTTCGACTACCGCGCTACGGCCAAAAAATGAACAGCAAAATGACCCTGAACTGAAAAGAATGATTGATTACCTGACAAAATCCACCTTACCGGAAGATGAAACAAGAGCAAAGGTATATACTTACACTGAAAGTTCTCCAACTTTTCAAGGGAAGTGTCAGTGAAATACCAGCTCTCTGAACCAAACAGTAGCACAGGCATCACACATGTGTCCACAACAGATCGAGACGAAAGAGGGTTCAGTTCACCTTGAAATATTTCTATGCAACCAAATGACTTTTGGGCCTTGGAGATGTTTTCCTTGATGGGTTTCAATTAGCAGTACCGCGCATGCGCAGTTCGCCGAGGGTTTGCACTGTAGTGCTTTTCATTGGGATAGCTAAAATGGAAGTACACATAATTATTGAGCAGAAGAATGCGATTTTGAATGCAGTAATTAATTTTTGTGGCTATCATTAGTTGCTATAGTACAACTGCATCATCTTCTCCATCATCTGGAGTAAGAGACTCTTTTTCTCTGCTGTGATGTCTCTGCCAACCCCTCCTCCTCCTAATTGCTTGTAAGCATTTTGAGTTTCAGTCTCGCAAGCATCTCCCACACCGTCACGATCTGAATCTCTTTGATCAGGGTTTGAAACATACTGGCAGTTGTCTAATACGTCAACTGTATTGGAAAGCAATCGTGAATGATACGCTACCATAAAGAATAAACCAACTTATAGCCCAGCCATACTAGCTAGCTACACCATTACATAATGACATTTTTTGGCAGAGAACGAAATAGCTACATTATTATGCAAGCATTATGACTATATATGGCCTTACTTATCCCATCATTGTCATTGTCTGGATCACAGGCATCGCCTGTAGCATCATTATCTCCATTTTCCTGGTTCGGATTAGCAAATTGGGGGCAGTTGTCACAAATGTCTTCAACACCGTCACGATCTCTGTCAACTATACCGTTGGGACCTGTCAAGTTGCATGGGTCACATGCGTCGCCAATTCCATCCCTGTCTACATCTTTCTGATCTGGGTTGTATACACGTGGACAGTTGTCCTGCAATTAGAAATGAGAGCCAGGTTTACTTTCATGCAGGGCTGCTCTATTTCGTCGCATTGTAGGTCGGTTCACCTTTTGTTGTTCACATGCCATCTACACGTCTTCATTATTGCCATCGAACATTATTGTCATTCTCATCCAACTATAATTATAGTACAACTACTATATATAGTGTCATCTGTCACACACCCAGGCATATTGAGCATGCGCACATGTGATAAGTGTTTGCTCCACAACTGAGAAACGGTTAACGTCTCCACACGTGCATTCGATATGGTACGTAGTTTGCTACTGTTTTAACCTACCATATTAGTTTCCACACAGTCTTCGTCTGGATCATCATTAGGATCAATGCATAGCCTCGTCCCATTCCATTCACAGCCTTCAAACTCGCATGCTGAGTAATAGAATGTCAAACGAATAGCTAACACGAGTGAGTGCAACAGGCACACTGCGGGAATGATTGCAAAACTTCAATTCCACTTAAAACATAGCAGAATGTGTGACAGCACCATCCATTTAGATAGAAAATTCCAAACGAGTAAGTATAGGCTTGCTCTGAAGGATATAATAAAAAATGTCCTCCCACTCACAGTTCTCTGTACGGATGAGAATACATCGCAATGATAATTTCGTAGTGCATTAGCTACTTAGTGAACCAATTGCATGATAAAGCTGCTAAAAGATCCACTGTCACATCTCTGCCCATTGTTTGTATACATAGAGGTGCCATGAATGACAACAAGGCACACATGTAGCATAGAGACTTATTCATTTCTCGAGCGACTTTCATTTTTCGGTAAGCAACCTTAGTGTGTTATTATGCGTGAAGCTGTTGCATGATAAAGCTGCTTGCTGCAATAGTATTGATTAGTCGTACACAATTTGTGGTGCTGCATCCTTGTCAGAAAAATAATTATACTAACTAACTGCATACCCTCCCACAGAAACTTTGGCACAAACTATAGCCAATAATATGTCATCCAATACTATTCAAAGCATCTGTCTTCAGCCCCTGCAAGGGTCTTAAACTAATGGGATTGCAATCTGGCCACTAAATACACTTGTTTTTAGACCAAATAAACATGTAAGGAAAGCGTTAATGAGTTCTACAAGGACAAGTATGCAGACTGCTTTACTCCATTACGTAATCTTATATACCTTGTCATTCGGATAAAAAGTGTAGCTATGCATGTGGAGATTTGAGAGACTCAGCCAGAGTCACAATAGAGAGATGAGCGTTGTGACGCACAAGGCTAGTTTTGCCACACATGCATAGACTCGGGGTTACTGCACTCACCACAACAGTCAATTATCTCTGTCTTGTTTGCATACACAAAAGGAGGGCAGTCTTCTCCTCCATTTGCGGGCCGTTGTGTAATGACGTAGTACTCTCTCTTCTGTCCTCCTCCACAGTTAGGAACACACTCTCCAGTCTCGACTGTGTGCCATTCACAAGACTCTGTGTGTGAGAAACAGGATCAAGGTAACGGGAAACGTCAACTGTTCGGTATAATACTGTGGGCAAAGATACTGTGATATATAGAGAGGAATGAGAACTGCTGTCTATTTGGCTAAATTCTCAGGACATGATGTATTTGGTATTTGGCTCTTGTTCTGTAGAAACCAAGTGTTTACAAGTATATATAGCTGCATGACCTGTAATATAAAATATTACTCGAGTTTGATGAGTATACAAAAGTGTATGTGACGATTCACCAATTTGAAAATATTTCGTGCAGATGTTGTTGTTGGCTATGTTGTGGGACAAGACCATCAAGAGAAAGACAAATGTATCTATACAGTATATAGAAGAATAATTGATGTCCTGTTGCATGGGCTGTTATATACGTGCGTAGTGGATTTCACCCTTTGCCAATAATGGAATATTGTCGGCTTAGTTTTACATTATAGCTAAATACTTCTGGAAGCTGCCTTCCTGCATGGCCTCTTAAAGGGAATGAATTCAAGTTGTTTTTGGTTTAGCTGTGTGACCTTTGAAGCCTTCAAGAGAAGAGCACTTTTTTATGGAAGGTACTCTTCCTGCATGGGAAGGTAGCTACCTGAGCAAGTGCATTGTCATCAACAAAGATGTTGGTTACTTGGAACATGGGCCTTCAAGAGAAATCACTTGCATGTACATACTTTTAGTAAAATAGAGGAAGTAACTCTTCCGGAGTTCTCATAATGCATTCCATTGCGTCATCATTTCCGCTTCTACCTCCTGATTAGACTTACCAATACAAGGTCCGGCATCGCAGGTTTTTACTTCTGACAGAGCACCAGTGCAATTCAGAAAATCCACCTGATCCACGACGTTTTTAACACTCCTCACTCTCGCCCGCTGTCCGACACCACAGGTCACGCTGCACGGACCGTAGTCACTCCACTCTGTGAAATCGCACCCTCCCTCCTCTCTTTCGCCGTCAGCTATAAACAAGAATAATTATATATCGATATCTATCTGTAGCTATATACGCTCAGACATGTATGCGTACGTACCACACCGAGGGCAGCAAATGCCCGGAAAGACGACCGGCGCAGCACCACTGTCGCATGTTGCAGTCGGATCACAGTTTATCGGCTCCTTATGGAGTCCCGACTCCTGCACAGTATAAATAGTCTCTTGTCATCACCTTCTAAACATTGTTTATTTTCACGTACGGTGCATATGTACATTTGGCAAGGATCGCTCTCTGGAATAAACGTCTTGTCGAGGTCCAGCAAACGCGAATGCGTAGTTCCGCCTTCTGTCTCGATTTCGATACAACACCCGCTACCGCAACTCCCGAGGTCCTCTACTGGATCCCACATCATCTTTGCAACCTCGTTGAGCAGAGTAATACTGCTGGGCTGAGCCAGTCCTGAACAATACATAATATAATGTACGACAGTATAGCTATATATAATTATAATTATTTCTGAACCAACCTATCGCAGTGCTCAAGACAACTACTAAGGAAGGTAGGGGCCACATTTTCAGACTCTCTAAAGTCGCGAACTTTAATTTCGTCGCGCTATTTATGGGGTGCTCGTGGAAGAGCGCGTGCGGGCGGAAATTAGTGGGAGGAGCCTATATACAAGCAGCAACTCAATATGCGTGCGAACCTAGTCTCGACAAAGAGGCCGTTAGGGGTGAGACCACGCGCTCGCAAAAACTACTGCGTACATTACCACACTATGAAGCAGGCTTATGGGTATATAGGTAATTATGACTTTACAGCACATAAGAAAGATGTGATGCCAGAAGTATAATTATAGGTATTATTGCCGCACACCAGTATAGCTAGTGTAGAAGAGGACAAACAACAAAACATGAAAAAGAGAGGAGGAGAGCAGAATTAGTGTGACCTTCCGGAACAATCCCATAGAGTAGCTATAATAATAAATGAAATGTCAACAGGGAGTCAAAATCAAGCCGTAACATTTTCGACATATTTTTCACCTCAAAGCCGCGCTCACTCACCATGCGTTAGTTAGGTGCAGATGTGAACCATGGAGCTGGGTCTTCCCTCCCACTTCCTTTTCCCCAGAATCTTGGCAAGTCAGGACAAGTTCAAAGAGAAAACAGAAGGTCCTACTCAATTAGGTATCATTCCTGTGGTATTCCTATGGACCGCCTCCAACTGCGGAACGGGCGCGGACTAGGCATGAGCTAATGCTCATATTTTTGCTATGCTGCAGTGGTGCAAATAATATTAAATTCCATAATGCTACTAATGCTCAACATTATTAACCCTCGCTGCGCGCATGCGCAGCGGAGGGTTATTGCAGTCGGTCTGTGTGTGTGTGTGTGGTGTGTGTGTCCGTGTGTCCGTCCGTCCGTCTGTCCACCGTTTTTCTCGGTAACCGCGGCAACTCTGAGCGTAAAACGTGGACATATTATCAGGTAGGAGGCATGCATGGTAAAATAAGATTCTGGAGCGGAGAAGGCCGGGGAAGCGGGCGAAAAGGAGGGCTGCCGAGGTGAGTGTGCGTCAAATAGAGATAAAAGACAGTTGAGTAGGAGCGAGATTGCCAGTGAAGTGAGAGCCAGGAAGCGAATCTGTTCAGTGAATGAGTCACTGAGAGTAGCTAGTAGCCATTGGCTGCTGAAATAAAGAATAAAGTGGTGACTGAGGGTTATGTATATACTGTCAAGTGCTTTTCACTTTGCTGTAGTAGTAACTAACTAGTATTGAAAACGCATGTCCAGAATAATGTGGACAAGGGTGATTGGAATAAAGGATAATGTTCACAAAATGTGAGATAGGATGTTAGCTATGGCTATATAAAGGTATCTTTGTAGATAAATGGCTGAAGTAAAGTTGAACCTCCATAATTAACAGTGGCGAGGGTTATGCACTTTCAAGTGCTTTTCATTTTTTTAGCATAGCTAAAGCTGTTAAAAACGACAGTGACAGAGTTAACGGTGATTATACTGAAGCATGAGTGATGTTTGGATGTAGCTATATAATCATTGAGTGTTGTGTCCTGTAGGGTTAGCACTCTCGCTGCCAGTAGTAGTTGACGTCATTTTTGGAAGGATGTGTTTCCCACATGTGCAGTGCGCAGTAGATAAACTACAGCGCAATCGAACTGACGTAACTAAGCACAAATAGCCAATTATGCTCGCAGTATGCTTGATGCTTTCGTCTACCTACTATGCCCCTTATTAATAGTGCTAGCATAATTAGCTCATGCCTTGCACGGACGCGGACGTTTTTACGCATGTGCAGCAGTATGCAATATGCCTTGTGATCGAGTAAATGATAATGTTGTGCTATATAATTATTGCGAGGGCGCCCAAAGGGGGCGGAATCACCCGGTAGCGCAATCGTTAGCTAGGGAACTATTTTTCAGGCAAGAGTGGGCCAGCGGGACTTGAAAAACATTATACGATCTCGGGGTGTCGAGCATGCAATTACTGATGCGCATGCGCCCGCGCTGGCGTACGCGCTGGCGGCAGCACACGTACCGGGCTTTTTGGCTAAAGAATTGTTTGGTTACAGTTTTGTAAAATGTCATAAAACCATGATGAAATTTTGGTAAAGAGGGGTAAAAACTAGGATACACCTTTCAGTTATCCACCTAACCACTAGCTAGTACCCGTCTGAATGGTGTCCAAACTTTTATTCGCTGCCGTACATTTTAAACAGCTTTTCCATGATTGCAGCTAACAATTCTTTCTTGTAGGGATAATCCAATACTTGCTCTCGAGATTCGCAGCTATCGCCTACTCCATCACCGTCTTCGTCCTTTTGATCAGGATTGATAACCTTTGGGCAGTTATCACAGTTATTATGCACATAATCTCCGTCCCAGTCTACGTCTGCGTCTATTGACTCCAGGAGACATTCACAGTTTTCGTCTTTCTCGTCACTCAAGCACACTGTCATGTTGTATCTCTCCAATCTGCATTCATGATATCCCACCGAGCATGCTGTAAGCAGAATAATAGTACAAGAGTGACGGAATGTGGCAGCATTATTAAAAATTAAACGGAGACTATTATTTGCATTCTTGCACTGAGCCCTATTGTACTTTAGTAGCAATAAAGTCTAATCTTAGCCCTAACGTATAGCTACTGCCACATTTCAAACCAAAGAGCCTTGCAAAGTGCAAACGCATGAGAGTCTTCCAGTAATGTTCTCTCAGTGTGTGTAAAGGTTGCTTACGGGGACATTTTGGAAGATCCGGGCAGTCAATGCTCTCTGGAGTAATTTCAGGGCATCTCTCCCCTCCGTTTAGTGCTTGCTTTATGATGGATGGAGTACATTGCCTCGTTGCAGTGCCACAAGTTGCTGTACAGTCCTCGCATTTCTTCTCCCACACACAATTTTCTATATAAAAAAACAAGAGGGTCCATAGTGCAGCAGGCCTGGGATTGTATTGCACTATAATTATATATATGAAGTGGCATTATCTGTATAGCTACCAGCAAATAACTTGTGTTAAATCCTCTCGTCTGTCTTGTCTTTGGCTCCTAGCCACTATAAACTTACCATAAATCACCAATGTATATACCAGATGCCCCTGAGGACAACCCACGCTGGCATATACATGCTAACACTAGTTGCCTACATTTCATCGTCTACTAGAAAACCGTTACGCCAAATCACCTACTAACAAACATGCGTATACAATGGGTACATAATTTTAGTAGTAGCTATTGTAAGGTTCATCTGTTTAATTAAAGAGAGCGGAGGAAAGTTAGAGTAGCAAATTTTGTTATTGTAAAACCCTCCCTTACAGAACCTTCTGTGAGGGAGGGTACACAGAAGTGGAATAAAATGATAACTCAATCTCTTTAACTCTTTCCCTCTATGATTCCCTAAACGTATTATAGCTATGATAGCTAGCTACTCACGGCAACAGTCTTTCACAGAATCGTTTCTGTACACAAAAGGAGGGCAGTCTTCTCCTCCATTTGCGGGCCGTTGTGTAATGACATAGTACTCTCTCTTCTGTCCTCCTCCACAGTTAGGAACACACTCTCCAGTCTCGACTGTGTGCCACTCACATGACTCTGTGCGTGGGAAACAGGAAGTAACCATTGAGGACTTTGGCAAAGAAATTAATTTCTTGGCCAAGAATGTATATACAATGCTTGCGTCTCTTCCTGTGTCCTGTGGCCAATTCAAACCCCAGTGGTGAACCACTACATTCATCATCCTGTGCATTCGATTGACCTGTACAAGGTCCAGCATCGCAGCGTTCCACTTGCGTCAGATTCCCCGTGCATTTGAGATCGTCCACAGCGTCGGTGATGCCCCTAACACTCCTCACTCTCGCCCGCTGTCCGACACCACACGTCACGCTACACGGACCGTACGGTGTCCACTCCGTGAAATCGCACCCTCCCTCCTCTCTTTCGCCGTCAACTGTAAAAAAAAAACACAGTTTGAACGTTTCTCACATACTTTTTCAATAGAGCTTCCTACGTACCACACTTTTGACAGCAAGTACCGGGTACCGAGGCCGGTGCAACTCCAGTTACACACGTCGTATTTTCACACCCGACAGACTTTTTCACAAGACCTGAAACCTAACAGTAAAAATACACAGTAAGTGTAGCTATCAACAACCTCTAGCTCTAGAACGTACGGTGCATGTGTATATCTGGCAAGGGTCGTCCGCGGGCGTAACGCTCTCGTCGAGGTGCAGCAAACTTGTCTGTGTCGCCCCGTCGTCTCGGTCGATTTCCACGCAGCAACCACTACCGCAACTCCCAACGTCCTGGACTTGATCTCGCATCACAACATTGGCGATTTCTTGGAGCAGAGATGTGCTGAGTGTCTTGCCGAGTGAAACACCTGAAAAAATAGAAAAACACTCACTTATGGCCGTAGCTACGTATAGACACGCACCTAGCACAGCGCACAATAGGACTCCGAGAGAGAGACACGAAACCCTCCACATTTTTTACACTTGCTTGAAGCTGACAAATGCTACCTATTTACATAGCAATCAAGGTGGAAAGCAACAAGATTTCCGCGGACAAGCGACTTACGTCCCAAATAGCTTCCGCTTCCGTATCTTACCCAAGAATCCTGGCAAGGGGAGGACCACTTCAAAGACTAGAAGCACAACTCCCACTAAACTCTTAGATTGTTTACAGTTAGTGTCTGCCAAGAAATGATGTTGCCTTGCATGTGGCTCTACATCGTCTCATATACGTCGTCATCATACGTCAATGCAATGTACGCACACACTGGTCAATCCGTCTGAGTTTTGTCAAACCAAGTTGCGATTACGGCGAACCGGCAATGAACTGGGAAAGGTCTAATGTCATTTTCCGGCCTGCAGAAGAATTCCTTAGGACATCAGCTAGAGGTCCACAGGGATCGCTCGGGCTGCGCCGAGGGCCGCGCGCCGCTCGCGGTGACGGTGCGGAGGGGCGCGGCAAGGAGGACGTCCCCAGTCGCTATTTTTACTGACGTTCTTTCCCCGTCGATCTACAGCGCGGTGATTTCGAGAACCCTGCCGGAAAATTCCAGCTTGCTCTGTGTACCTCGGAGGCACAAGAAGTCACAACGAAGGGCGTGTATTGACTCCCGCATGCTATCTACTCCTGTAGCTAGCCCGTGTCACACTCTCCGCGAGCTACTAGCGGGAGATCACGCAGACTAACAGGCCCAGCCCATCAATTAGAGGTACCGCGCATGCGCAGTTTGCCTAGGGTTTGCACTTTAGTGCTTTTCATTGTATATGGGTTCGACATTTCTAATGCGTCGAGGGTTTGCACTTTTTGGTAGTGCTTCTCGATTATGCTATATAGTTCTGCCAGTTTGCTGCAACACTGTAAATCAATGAATATGCAATACTGATACTGAAGAACTCATATATATGTAGTTATACAAAGGTGCTTTGTTCCTTTGTTTCTCATCTCTGTCAGCTGCTGTAGTATAACTCCAGCACTTTCTCCATAACCTGTGTCAGAACCCCTTTCTCTTCTGGAGTCAGTTTGTTGTCATCTTCCATTCGGTTGTAGTTGCTCTGGGTTATACTTTCGCATGCATCTCCAACGCCGTCATTGTCTGAGTCATTCTGGTCGAGGTTTGGAACAAATCGGCAGTTGTCGCAGGCATTTCCAACATCATCCTCGTCCTTGTCGGCTTGATTGTCGTTAAACTTATAGATACAATTGTCGCATGCATCGCCCACACGATCTCTGTCAGAGTCTCTTTGATCAGAGTTGGGATATTTTGGGCAATTGTCTTGTGAGTCAACTGAAATTGAGCAACAGAACAGAATTAATCTTATTTTTCCCCCCTGATTTTGTTATATACTTATTAGTTGCAAAGAGCTAATATCTACATCACAAAGTCCATAGCTCATACAGGTATAATATATAGAGTTAACAAATAAACTTGCACACTGGGGGTTTGCTATCTATAAACTGCATGCCCTATCCATGCATGCAGGGCAGATTATCCCACTATAAAAATGAATGTCTCCGCTGATTTCTAAATAAAGGGTATGCGTACTTATTGACTGGTTGCAAGAGTGATACGGACGAAGAGACAGGCAGACACACTCTGATACAATGGGAAGTGCACTCACCCTCACTGTGCATGTTAATTGCCTATATAGCCAACTGAATGTTTAATTTTCCACATTATGTATGTAATGGTGAACCGACACACGGACCAACATACCTTAATGTTTACGTGATTCAAAATACGTGCCAAATATGTGTGAAATATTGAAATGCTCTCACTACAGCCACCGTCATGATCTACATGATTCTAAATACCTGCAAAACACGTCCAAAATTTTGAACTGCTCTTGCTCGCTCATTCCTCCAGTAAACATACACTATATACACCATAAACAGCTGGCTGTGGCTGGTGTTTACTGTTTGTGTACAATTATGTATAAATTTAGCTATAGGACTTCGGCCAAGTAAGAGTTTGAATTTAGCTATAGGACTTCGTCCACGTAAGGGTTTGTGTGTGGGTGTATATACCAGAACTTGGCTGGCTCAGGTTAATTAAACAATGGTCATCTCTTCTATTTTTCCTTTATTACAGGGACTTACTTATCCCATCATTGTCATTGTCTGGATCACAGGCATCGCCTGTAGCATCATTATCTCCATTTTCCTGCTTCGGATTAGCAAATTGGGGGCAGTTGTCACAAATGTCGTCAACACCGTCACGATCTCTGTCAACTATACCGTTGGGACCTGTCAAATTGCATGGGTCACATGCGTCGCCAATTCCATCCCTGTCTACATCTTTCTGATCTGGGTTGTATACACGTGGACAGTTGTCCTGCAAACCAACAGAAAAGCACACTGCTTGAGGAATATGTAAAAACTGCCCAGGGGTAGCTACTAAGTTGGCTAAGTGTTGGTTCGGAGGTGATGTACTGTACTTTTAGTCCTCTACATACACAAAGATCCTACCCCAACAGAAACCTCCTTGAGACTATACAAGAGATAGTTGTGTGCAGTTCAGCGGCATTATGTACTGCTAAGATCCTTAAGAGTGGTGCAAGGCTAGCTACAGTATTGCCCAAGAAAAATGTCATGTGCATTAGCAGCCATAGTAAGAGCACTCATTATTTGGTACTCTGATAACTTATAAGGCTTTTCCTGTGGAGTAGAAAATAATTTTATTTTTGCGATTCTTTACAATTTTGTTTTCAATAAACAATACTAGGGTTGAACAATCCCCTTTACCCACTGACGGATGCAGTGGTGTCCATAGCTATCGGAGGGATATTTACAAATTCACACTGTGTTGTAGTCAAACTTGAGCAACATTCTGACCCCATGGTTTGCACCAAAATTACTGTGCAATACTACAGTTATCTTGAAGGTTACATTTGACACGTCGTAGAAATGTTGTAGAAATGAGCTCATACCTGCTGAGCTGCCCTGGTAGCTCAGAAAGTAAGAGTGCTCTGCCTACATTGTGTGCCTTCTCACCCCACCGTGTGACCTGTTTGACCTGATGGTACCTGACTACTTGCCATTACCTCTGGGGTTAGAATGCAGTCTTGGTCTGGGTCATTGTTAGGATCCACACACTTTCTCAGCCCATTCAGAAAACATTCCACCAACGGATCACAATCTGAAACCATGAAATAATAAGAACCAATAATAATTCTAGAGACTGTATTAATTGGCGAGTGGGAGCAAGCTAACCTAGTGGTCCAAACAGCGCAATTTGTATATACGTCTGTTCAACTGTGCATGCGTTTCGATTACGCACTTCTTGAAAATAATGATTGCAAAATGTTTTCACGCTGCCTAGCTCGTTCCTCGTTGCGTGATTTAGCCAGCGAGAGAACTCGCATCCATTCGACGGCATTCGCTGCACTCTTAAGTGCCTGAGTCCAATCTTCGTGGTTCCTAGGCGCAAGTTGTAAATAAGATAGGATTGCTCGTGCAGATACAATCATTGTGAGCTCGTTCCCACTCGCCAAATTATTACGCATGTTAGGGCTGGGGCTAATGTGCTAACATTCTTTGACCTCAGTCCAAGTTCATATGTACACATACTTGGGCGTGGGCACAGATAATTTTGACATAGAACCCTTTCAAATCATCTGCAAATTTCACTGCATAGTTTGTAGGTTCATGTAGCGAAAGGAGGGGGGCTAGCAGTAACTGGTAAAAGTTCGACTCACCGCAAAGCTCGTTGTTGCACACCTCTCTTGCAGTCACGTTGTTGAGGACAAAGTCAGGGCAGAACCCGTCTTCTCCTTTTGCAGGGTTTGTGACGACTGGATACCTCACTCTCACTCCCCCTTCACAGGACTTTGAGCACTCTCCAAACCGATACTCATATTCACAGTTCTCTGAAAGAGTGTATAGGCGTAGCTACAACATAATATTGACCAACTAAGGTACGTATTCGTCTGTAATTGGGGTTTTTCAACCTTACATAATCCTGCCACTGTCGATGTCATGTAGACTTTCTATATTATACTGATAAGGAATGTCCCATGCCACGTGCATTTGACCCTCGTGCCACTCATCAAGGAAAGTATATATACCAGTTAAATTGTTAAAAATCGGTTTTAAAAGCAGTACTGTTGTTGGGGGCCAGTAATATTAAGAGGAGATTTGTAAGCACACAACTCACCACAGCATTCTATAACTTGAGTCACATTATCTCTAACAAAGTCAGGACACTCTGTTCCTCTGCCAGCTGCCTCCTGGGTGATTATGTAGTGCCTTTCTATCACTCCTCCTCCGCCACAGTTTGGTACACACTCTCCTGTCTGCACTGGCCTCCACTCACAGTTCCCTGTATGAGAGGGGAAATAAAAGTGGAGTGAAAAAGAGGTGATAAGATTTATAATCATTGTGTGTGTGTTCATTCGCAAAGAAAGGAGAGCTGGCGCCTAAGTATACCAACACTAAAGCATATTACTATGGTGCAAACTTTGTTGGCAGCGCACCCTAATCAATTAATCCCTACCTTCCGTGAGGATGGAAATACTGATGAAGGGTTTCTGACGTTGGCTTGGAATTTGCATTTGTGGGATAACAAGTGATAATTGCCCCAAACGCAGCGTGGCATATAGCTATAAGGCAGTTGAGAAGTTTCCACTAATCGGGTAGAGATGTAGCCACCTGGGAATGTTGCTACACTGACCCTACTGACCCGGAGAATCACAATATCAATACTCAAGCCCATCACAGGCTCTTTAAAAGTAGTCCGGCCAGGAAGTAGGTGTGGTTAATACAGTGCAGTGTGCGCATGCACAGCGCTACGCGAGCGGCCGACCGTCGACAGCGCGTCATCATGGCCCGTGTGCGCACGCGTGCGTGTACGCTGGACGTGGTGACGACATGGCGCCGTGATCGATCAGAACATATCGTTGCAGCACCGCAGCCAGAGAGCAAGCGCACTTCACTAAGTAAGGTTGCTGCATGGTAGACTGGCGCTCTAGCGCCTGCTAAATGTGACCATGCCCTCAAATTCGAGCCAGAAGTCCTCCGGCCAAAATCGGACCGGCCGGACCGCTTTCTACGCCCATTATACTGCAGGAGCACTCTACTGATCTATCTGACGACACACTGACAAACAGTATAAGGAGTCTAAATAGACCAGGGTAATGACAACACTGAAATATTTATCTCGTTATGAAGCTATATTCTTTCCACCTAATAGACCCACCATTAACATAACTCTTCCCATGGTAGTTTCTAGGAAACCTCATTGACTCCTCCCCATCATCAGAAATTAGGTCCAGCAGCTAAGTTTTAACCAGCTCAACTCGATTACAGAGTACCCTCAATTAAAAAAACTAACTGATACTTACGGCAGCAATCTATATCTTCAGTGATGTTAGCATAAACGAATGGAGGACAATCCTCTCCGCCAAACTTTGGCTCCTGTGTAATGACATAGTATCGGTGCCTCACTCCTCCTCCACAGTCAGGAAGACAGTCTCCACTCTCTACCGTAGTCCACTCACAAGCAACTGTTTAACAAAAGATAGAGTTGAGGGGTAGCTACTAACAAACAAAAATCCAGGTGGGGCTGGTGGAGGAAATCTTACTACAACAGGAGAGGAAGTCAAAAAGGAAGTTCAAGGGTAAGTTCATAATAACACAGTAGCTGCACCCTGTGACCTATGTATGTATCCCCATCCTGTAGCACACTGTCTGCTTCAACCTTAGTTATGACAGCACAAATTACCATTCATACCTGGGCAACTTCCGAGGTCACATGGCCGCAGCTCTGTCAGGTTTCCACTGCAGTTCAAAAAATCGGATGAGTCCCCGATGCTGCTGAGACGCCTGACTCTCGCCTGCTGTCCTGGATCACACGATGCACTGCAACGGCCCCAGTCACTCCAGGCAGTAAAGTCACACTCTCCCTCTGTTCTCCCACCAACTGTACGTATACATGTGTCAACAGTAAGGTGAGGTAGAAAGGCAAAGGCAAAGACAAAGCAAACAGGTCAACCACACTCGGGCAATCCTTTTTATACAGGAAACTATGACGTGAAATTTTGCTTCTTGTATATCAAAACAGTATTGTTCTAGTATGCATACACCACAGCTTAGGTAGCTACACACTGGAGCAACATACCACACTGCTCACAACAGCTCCCGGGATACTGGATGGGAAGAGACCCGTCTGAACACAGGCTGTTGACACATTCTACTTTCATCTGCGAGAGCCCTGAGGACTGTGCATAGGGAAGTCCAAGCGTTACTTTTTCCTCCAAAAGCAGTCAAACTCCCACTTACTGTGCATGTATATATTTGACAAGGGTCGTCTGGGGAAGTAACTCTCTCGTCGAGCTGCAACAGACGGGTCTCTGTACCCGCCGAGTCTCGGTCGATCTCCACGCAGCAGCCTAAACCGCAACTCCCGACATGCTCGACTGGATCTTGCATCATCTTGGTTATCTCGTACAGCAGGGAGGTGAACTGCTGCTTGCTGCCTGGCAAACCTGCACAGACGAATGGCAAAACTTACACAATCTGCCTGCCTGGACTACAGGAGCAAGCTAGTTGAGTGTATATAGCTGCTTACCTGCCGCAGAGTTCAACAGTATACCCACGAACAGGACAAGTGTCGATAATATCTTCATCCTCGTCATTGAGAAGGCCTTCGTTTTCTCATGCAACGACCAATGCGCGATTGCTATGGTATTCGTTTATCACCGCGAGGAAATCGTATTATATCAACAGAGAAGTTGTAGTAGTGCTGCATGCCTGCATAGTGGGTCACCTTCGTTATATAATGTTACGTCGTGAACCCCCGAGGAGAGAATTATAACAAACTTTTACTGCAAAAAGTAAGCAGCTATTTGTAATTTAGCTGTCCCTTCACTTTCATTCCATCTTTATTGCCAAACTAATATATTCACAGTATAGATGGAACACCTCGCAGAACAACAAACATAAACACAAACAAACAGATTTGTACATGATCAAAACATCACATTCTGTAGTACTTCTCAAGCAACTTCTTGACTAGGGAATTGTTAGTCTCTTTAGTCCGTCTTTTATCCTCTGCAAAAAAATGTAAGCAACTTCGTCAATGCAAACTATTTTCTACAACCCGGCGTTCAACGTACGGCAATGTGTATCAGGGCATTCCTCCAGTTCAACTGACGAAGCAGATGTCGGACAAGGTCTTCCGCTCTGTGGTTGCTGTGTGATCAGCTCATAGCGTTTTGTTTCTCTTGTTTCACCACATAGCAAGCTGCACTCTCTCCACTCTGTTTTACAGTCAACTGTAGAAATTATGACAGTCCATAAAGCGCGAGAGTCACAGTATATACGCTCGGGAGGAAGCGCATAAAACAGAGTATGGATAGTAAGTCAGGCTCCCTCCACACCCATAAAGGCGCCGCATGCAATGTTGTACACCACAACCATGATACTCACTGAATTTGAGTGAGGACTCCTTCGCAGCTTATTGAGCCCACAGCCCCAGTGAGTGCAATTTTTCGCACACGGGCCTGTTTTCCTCCACCACATGTCGCGCTGCATCTTCCCCATTGACTCCACTGTGTGAAACACTCTGCCTGTACTGCCAAGCCAGCTACAGAAACGAGAAATAGTCTATAAGCGATTCGCTTGCGTGAGCAGGGACATACGTCAATTAACTGGAGTTACACATTAGCTAAAAGCGTACCGCATGTGGGACAGCACTTGTCAGGGTATCCCACTGGTACACTTCCATCATTGCACGCGATATTATGCGGGCAATTAATTCTTTGTTCGGTCACTCCAGTTTCCTGTAATAATAGAAGTCAGTTTAGTCTACATATCATACAAATTGGACCTAACCGTGCATTGGTAAATGACACAAGGGTTCGTTGAATCCGGAATATTCTCGTCAAGGTAAAGGAAGTGTGTTTTTCTGTCGTCCATATCGATATAGCACCCAACCCTATCACACGTTCCATTCAGCAGTGGAACATCGCTAAACATTGATTGCCCACTCCTATACTCCAACCCTGGTGTGGCAAAAAGGAAACAAGTAAAAGCAATACTCATAGCTATTAATTTGTTTACCGTCAATTTTCAACACCACACATGCCAGTGAAATAAGGGCAATTCCCAACATCTCTCCTTCAATATAATCTTTAGTCTCTTGAAGTAAGCCGTGATGCATGGATGAGACGGCCAGCGATGGAGATCTTTTTATACTCCACGCAGAATGCACTACTTGCTCATGTAAGTATTATAAATATTATGGGAACCCCCTAAAAGATACCACACATTTCCTGTGTGAACCAATATATTATACTACAGAAAACTTGGTTTCCAGTAAACTGGTAGCTATGGGGATAGCACCCATCTCTTGGAACTCACATTGGTTTCCTCACTGGACTTACCCGCTTTCGATTTATTCCACTAACATCTAGATCATATAGAAAACCCTTACCATATTATTATTACCCTCGGCGCGCATGCGCATCGAGGGTCATGCGCATGCGCAGCGAGGGTACTGTAGTTACCCTCGGCGCGCATGCGCAGCGAGGGTACTGTAGTTGGGTGTGTGTGTGTGTCTGTTACTCTCAATCTCACTTCTCGAATGTCTGTTCGTCCCAGAAACGCTACCATCTACCCAACGGGCGACGAAGGTCAGAAAATATGTGGGGTTTTCTCTGAAAATGCTCCGTTGCAGAGCTAGAGCGCTTCCACCATTGTACGGCTAATGCGTAGTCGGCCATTTTTATCGCTGCGGAAAATGCGCATGCGCTTATAACCTCGACCGGGTCGTCCGCTTGCTCTGTGTATCTTGAAGGCACAAGAAGTCACAACGAAGGGCGTGTATCGACTCTCGCATACTATCTACTACTGTAGCTAGCCCGTGTCAGACTCTCTGCGAGCTACTAGCGGGAGATCACGAGTAAACGCATACTAATAGCAGCCCAGCCCATCAATTAGCGGTACCGCGCATCCCCAGTTCGCCGAGGGTTTGCACTTTAGTGCTTTTCATTGGGGTTTGTCTGTGTGTGTGTGTGTGTGTGTCTGTTACTCTACATCTCACCTCTCGAATGTCTGTTCGTCCCAGAAACGATACCATCTACCCAACGGGCGACGAAGGTCAGAAAATATGTGGGGGTTTTCTCTGAATATGCTCCGTTGCAGAGCTAGAGCGCGAAAAAGCCAATATGCAAATACACGGGATGGCTTACCACAGTCTGGTCGATCCGCGTGCTCTGCGTACCTCGGAGGCACCAGAAGATGCAACGCAGGGCGTGTATCGCCTCTCGCATGCTATCTAGTAGTGTAGTTAGCCCGCGTCAGACTGCGCGAGCTGGCAAGAGACCGCTAAAACTAAACCCAGCCCATCAATTAGTGGTACAGCGCATGCGTTTACTCACGCGTGTGCGTCACAATGGGCCGAGGGTTTGCACTTCAGTGCTTTTCATTACCCTCGGCGCGCATGCGCAGCGAGGGTACTGTAGTTGGGTGTGTGTGTCTGTCTGTCTGTGTGTCTGTTACTCTACATCTCACCTCTCGAATGTTTGTTCGTCCCAGAAACGATACCATCTACCCAACGGGCGATGAAGGTCAGAATATTTGTGGGGTTTTCTCAGAAAATGCTCCGTTGCAAAGCTAGAGCCCATCAATTACACGTATGCACAGTTCGCCGATGGTTTGCACTTTAGTGCTATTCATTACCCTCGGCGCGCATGCGCAGCGAGGGTACTGTAGTTGGGTTTGTCTGTCTGTCTGCTACTCTCAATCTCACTTCTCGAATGTCTGTTCGTCTCGCAAACGATACGACCTACCTAACGGGCAATGAAGGTCAGAAATTTCGACCGGTTTTCTCTGAAAATGCTTCGTTGCAAAGCTAGAGCGCTTCCGCCATTGAACGGCTAATGCTAGTCGGCCATTTTTATCGCTGCGGAAAATGCGCATGCGCTTATATTTTCAACAGACTCAGGTCCGCTTGCTCTGTGTATCTTGAAGGCACGAGAAGTCACAACTAAGGGCGTGTATCGACTCTCTACTACTGTAGCTAGCCCGTGTCAGACGCTACTAGCGGGAGACCATGAGTATACTACATACTAATAGCAGCCTAGCCCATCAATTAGCGGTGCCCAGTTCGCCGAGGGTTTGCACTTTAGTGCTTTTCATTGGGTCAGTGTGTCTGTCTGTGTGTCTGTTACTCTACATCTCACTTCTCGAATGTTCGTTCGTCTCACAAACGATACTACCTACTCAACGGGCAATGAAGGTCAGAAAATTTGTGGGGTTTTCTCAGAAAATGCTCCGTTGCAAAGCTAGAGCGCGAAAAAGCCAATATGCAAATTTCCAACGGACAGGACGGCTTACCACGGGTCTGATCGATCCGCGTGCTCTGCGTACCCCGGAGGCACCAGAAGATGCAACGCAGGGCATGTATCGTCTCTCGCATGCTATCTAGTAGTGTAGTTAGCCCGTGTCGGACTCTGCGCGAGCTGGCAAGAGACCACGAGTAACAGCTATAACTAAACCCAGCCCATCAATTAGTGATACCTCGCATGCGTTTACTTACGCGTGCCCGTCACAAGGCGCCGAGGGTTTGCACTTCAGTGCTTTTCATTGGGTCTGTCTGTCTGTTTGTCTGTTACTCTATATCTCACTCCTCGAACGTCTGTTCGTCTCACAAACGATACGACCTACTTAACGGGCAACGAAGGTCAGAACTATCGGACAGTTTTCTCTGAAAACGCTCCGTTGCGAAGTTAGAGCGCTTCCGCCATTGTACGGCTAATGCTAGTCGGCCATTTTTATCTCTGCGGAAAATGCACATGCGCTTATATTTTCAACAGGCTCTGGTCCGTTTGCTCTGTGTATCTTGAAGGCACGAGAAGTCACAACTAAGGGCGTGTATCGACTCACGCATGCTATCTACTACTGTAGCTAGCCCGTGTCAGACTCTCTGCGGGCTACTAGCGGGAAACCACGAGTAAACGCATACTAATAGCAGCCCAGCCCATCAATTAGCGGTACCGCGCATGCCCAGTTCGCCGAGGGTTTGCACTTTCATTACCAAGTGACCGTAGGTAGGTGTATTAACCCTCGGCGCGCATGCGCATCGTGGGTTGCGTCTGTCTGTGTGTGTGTCTGTCTGTCTGTTACTCTCAATCTCACGGTCTCACAAATGACACGGTCTACTTGAAGGTCAGAACTTTCGGTTTTCTCTGAAAATGCTCCGTTGCAAAGCTAGAGCGCATCCAGCATTGTATATACGGTAGACGCCATTTTATCGCTCCGGAAAATTTGCATGCGCTTCTGCGATAGCGGCGTGAGCACACTAATAGCCCACCCGCGGCCCAGCCCATCAATTAGCGGTACCGTGCGTGTGCGGTTCGCCGAGGGTTTGCACTTACTTTTGACTAGCTAGTGCACTGAATAGGTAGTGCACTCAATAACTACCCAGCTAGCAATAGAGTACCAAGCTTCCAATCGTAGCCTTAGCCGCTCGTTGGACACCATAAAACGGTAGAGACAATAGCTTCACCTACGTATATAAGCTTGTTGCATACCAATTCATTGACACTATTGATGTGGTTCTTTTTCAGGAAACTACTAGCAAACTATTACCGCCTCATGTTCAGTTTGGAGCTGTAGGACTATTGGCCAGCCTCAACCAACTGCATAGCTAATACCTCGGTGCATGCAACTATATAGCTGTCTTACAGGTGCTTTCGTATGCCCCGATTATGAGCTGCAGCCATGTCAATAACAGTACCAAGAAGCTAACAAACGAATTTTCCTCTCCTCGGGAATAATTACAAGGTCGCAATTTCGGGACATCCGCAAGTACGCCGCCCTATAGGTCAAGGCATGCATGCGTTTTGCGCGCTTGCCACTGCACCCAACTTTTTTTGCTAGCTATATTTAAAGTGTCTGCACATTGTAGCTACACTCCTCCTCCCTTTTTTCTTAGCAAATAGCCTTCCATACATCTTCTCCCAAGTCACTCACTATAATTATATTTTTGAAAATGCATACAGTGTATATTTTTTCTGTACTGAAAAAAAGTTGAGTAAGGTTAATGTGTAGAATCAGTTCAACGTTATTAATTTTTTCCTTCGTAGTATTTTTCCAGCAACTTTGCCATGAAGTGGGCTTGGGCACTGCTTCCTAGCATTCTGTTCCCTCCATTACTGTCCTCAGTAGCTATAATATTGTAGAATTAGATGTAAAGTTACAGCAAAAATAATGCTACTAAAATGAACATACTGCAAGGTTGAAGAATGCACTCGTCAACATCAGGATCACGATTACGAGCAAATGGTGGACAAGGTCGGCCACCGTTCTGGGCCCTCTGCGTTATAAAGGGGTATCGCGTCTTTCTCCCTGTACCACACGAAGTCGCTGCACTCTCCAAACTGGCCATATTCCCATTTGCAGTCAACTGTAGGTATTATATGATTGTTGACAAGAAGCATCACGAATATTAATAATTTTACAACAGGAATGTAGCTGAATGGACGTGTGTCTTGAGAGGAAGGTGAAATCAGGATAGGAAATTAATTCCTTTAAAAGAACATGCAACATTTGCATACAAATACATGAGCACACATCCTTGAGAACAAACCCCACAATAATTAACTCTTGTCTATGATGGTTGCTATATAACTAGGTGAGTTTGCCTTTGTTTGTTACAAGCTTGCTGCTTCACGTGTGGACAGTATCCTGTGTGTCACTAGAGCAATTGGAGAAACGTGTCGTTTGTCGAGCAAATGGGCAAATTACCTGGACATGCATATGTGTTGCACTCTTGAATTTCAGTGAGAGACCCACTGCAATATATCGAGATTGCTGACTCGGAGAGATGAACTGGATGCCGCACACAAGCCCGCCTCCCTCCGCCACACGGAACACTGCACCTGCCCCACTCACTCCACTGCGTGAAACTGCACACTTCATGCTGTCTACTACCAATACCAACTATGCGGGAAATAAAAAATACAATAAGTATTACTGCATCAGAGCATGTGGTAGCTAAGTATGGCATACTGCATCTCGGGCAACAGGTGTCAGGAAATCCAATAGGTTGAGAGCCATCCTGGCAGGTTATGATAGGGCCACACTCGAGTCGGTCCTCAATCACTCCACGAGTCTGTGTGACGAGAAAAAGAAGTTGCATTGATTGCTGCAGATTTCGTATCTTATACCGTGCATTGGTAAATGTGGCAAGGATCGTTGCTGCCCGAAATCTGCTGGTCTAATCGAATGAAACGCGTTTCTTGCCCTCCATGTGGACCCTCCATCTCCACATAGCACCCGCCACTGCCGCACGTTCCATGTACAACTGGCGTGGACTCGGCTTTTACCAAACCTGCAGCAGTAGCTAGTAAGTTGTTGGCTATAGCCGGGCTTTAGCAATCTAACCTTGTGCAATTCCAATTCCGGCCGCGACAAGCGACAGAAGTATAAACCCCAACATCTCCTCTGTAAATGTCAGCTGCACTTGAACGAACTGAGCAGAGTGGTGAGACCTGAAATCTCGGTGCTTTTATAAGCGCTCACAAAACCGGAACCGGCCACAATGCGCACGCGCAGTTACAAAAAGCGGGACACGATGACGTCAAGAGTATTATGCTGACTTAGTGACTCGGAGAGTATAATTTACACGCGAGCTTTCATTCGTTTGAGCTTTGGTGAGGCCCCGATAAAGCCGACTGCTGATGAACGGTAGATACGTAAGGGCCACACAACAGTGACCAGCTCCCGCTAATGCAACTCAAACCAGCCCACTGACTTCAGCCTACACCTGATCAGGAAATAGCATCTAGATACTTATTAGGAACTAATCACACTTCCAAGCTAGACTGAAAAGCTGATCTTCCTCAACTTCAGTTGTCGCTATTCTGACAAATCCGGCAGTTAGCTACAATGCGGGATATTATCACAAACCTCCCACCAAGTGCAGTACAAAAGTTATTTACTGGGAAGTACTCATGCAGGACTTTCCCAAGGTGGAAGGCTGCCTTGTGGTGTTACAAGAACATGCAATTATGACCATCTGGTGAACATAAATTTTCCTCGTTAGCTACATCCACATTTGATAACATCATACAAGACTTCAATATAACTATTGCATTATACTGGTCACATGTAGTAGGAAAGCAGGAAGTTAGCTAACTACGTTTTATGCTGCATTATAACAATGTGTAGCTCTTTGTACACATGCCTGGCGGCCAACAACTCCTTGAAGCTCTGCCTACACAGAATAACAATTCGGCTGATCTTGAAAACTTGTGTAGCTAATTGTGCAATACCACAACCACGTTGATATAATTACAGCAACACTCCCAGCCATTAAAGTGCTTGTAGCTACAATTACCATCTGGTGAACACACTGCTAAAGAAATTTTACATCATAACCACGCCAAAAGGCAACTGCTGCAATGAAATTACAATCTCTTGAACAAGCTCAACAAAATCTGTCTTCCACACTCTTGGGGTGATGGCTCTGCTGGTGTATCTATTAGCTACTTAGCTGTATAGGGTAACAAGTGGAAAAATCAAAATGAAGGGGATACAGGGATGTTTATCTTTCCTTCCAATCTCGACCAATAGCTATTGCATCCTGCATGCATATTATTATATAGCTACTTTGTTCACTTAACTAGCCACGGAGACATTGTGTCCACAGCTTCCATATAAGTCCAAAAGAATTTATATAGGGGTTATAATACTAGGCGCTAATACTTTAAACACCAATTTCTGCTTATTTAATTAAAGCAGATGCCCATGGCGTCCAAAGGGTTAAAGGGCGAATTTACACCCCTTTAAATTCCCTCCGACTCAGCTGCAGGCAGTTCATATGTGAAGGAGCAACACTATCTTCGCTGTATCATTCCCTATCTCGCCTCTATTGCTATCATGGAAGTATTGTACCATTGCTGACTGAACTCCAATTAAGCGTACGCAGAGTAAAATTAAAAAACATTCTAATCATAATTCATGCATACATCCACACTATTAAATCTACATAAGAGCTAAACAGTTCTGCTACAGGGGGACTCCTATAAAGAAAACCTAATAAACAAGCGTATGTAGCGATTATCCAGTGTACTATACAGTTATGTAGAAGCATAACAGTCAATCTTCGAGTCTAAATGACAGGGTCAGCTACCGGCAGGAGTTGGGGAGGCAGACTCCTGCTTGATACCGAGATCTTTCCCGGCATCTTGGCGGGCGTGGATGGCCTCAAACGCTAGCAGCTTCTCTTTCTGTATCTCATTCTTGACGCTCTGCGGGACGTCTGGGACGGCCCAGGCCATGAAGCCAGATATAATGAAAATGAAGTTCTGTGCAGAGAGAGGGGGAGGGAGGGAAGGGATCTTATGACTTAATTTCCCACCAATTTCGTCAACCAATTATAGCTACATACAGTATTCTATTCTTATCCCAATATTATGAGCCATGCACTAAGAAAAAGGAGTATTTTCCTGTCCACCTAACTACACATTAGGTCTTGATTTTTCTTCATGCCTTTTTTTGTGCAGTCATTTCGCTTTTTATCATACCAATTATTCACTTCTTACTACTTGGTACATAACAAAAATGAAAAGCACTAAAGTGCAAATCCTCGGCGAACTGTGTATGCGTGGTACCGCTAATTGATGGGCTGGGCTATTTGTAGTATGCGTTTACTCGTGGTCTCCCGCTAGAAGCTAGCAGAGAGTCGGACACGGACTAGCTACAGTAGTAGATAGCATGCGAGAGTCGATACACGCCCTTCGTTGTGACTTCATGAGCCTTAAGATACACAGAGCAAGCGGACCCGGTCGAGGTAAGCCTGTGCTAATTAGCATATTGGCTTGTTCACTTGCTTTTCACGCCTTTTAAAATGAAGCCAGTGTAGCTCTGAACCTGTTGGTGTCGCCTTTTGGCCAGTTTGTTGGCAGAAAACGTGGTAACGAACAGACACACACAACAGACCAACTACTATAACCCTCGAACGCATGCGCACCGAGGGTTAATAATGTACACAAAACAGTCAATAACCACCACTTTCGATCCTACCTGATGTAGTGATGTTCTAGAGTATCATTACCTCAAAGAAGATGATGAAGGCAAGGCGAGCAGTCCAGGTATGCCAGTAGGAGATTGGCCTCCCTTCTTCCACGATCCCACGGAACCTGAGATCACAATGACAACCAGCACAAAATAATGCACAGGTATACAGAGTAGAGTGGAGCCCCTCCAATCTGGACACCAATGGGACAGTATAAAGTTTTCATATTATTAACCCTCGGCGCGCATGCTCTACACCAACGGGTTCGACGCTACATTTGCTTGATTTTAAAAGTGGCGATTTTCGTAAAAACACTGCGTTCGAAAGGCGTGAAAAGCAAGTGAACAAGCCAATATGCAAATTAGCACGGGCTGATATACCTCGACAAGATGTGCTTGATCTGCGTACCTTGGAGGCACAAGACGTCACAACGACAGGGCGTGTATCGACTCCGCATGCTATCTACTACTGTAGTAGCCGTGTCAGACTCTCCGTGTGCTACAAGCGGGAGACCACGAGTAAACGGCCCAGCCCATCAATTAGCGGTATCGCGCAAGCGCAGTTCGCCGAGGGTTTGCACTTCAGTGCTTTTTGCAGGAATTGTTCTTGGGGTAATAAAAAGGTGTCCTTATAGTAGTAACATTGATGTAGCCAACTAGTACATGATTATACATGTGAAAAAGATGCACATAAAGTGGAAGGAGAATAATTCTATGCGAAGCTTGTGGAGTAACTCACCGCAAGTGGAGTTAGGATTAAAGCAGTCACCTAGTCCCCCTCTATCGGGAGACGCGTTATCACTGGTCGTATTAACAACCATTCTCCGACACTCCTGGCGCTCGTAAAATCTCCTGTAGCCATTCTCCGTGAAGGCCGGACTGTTCTGGAATCGTCTTCTGTTTCGTTGTAGTGAACGACCATCACATCACAGTGTCATTTGTTTTTGTGTTTGTCCGTCTACACAGGAGCGGTTCCAGTTCCGGTCCAGGTCCATGTCTTCGATGCCAGTCATGTCAATGAACGGAAGATACAGTGGGACAACGTCACGCGTACCGCTTCACTATTTCTACCGGTTCGCCGTCGTCACTTCAAAAACTCCAGACGCTGGGCGGTGAGTAGGCAGGGAAAGGCCTCTCTCGTCCACGAGAGGCTGACCAAGAAGATGTACTGGACCAGTGGCGGAGCCGACAACCCCGGGTCTGCGGCTTCGTCACCGAATGGGACACAATGGCTGAGACGGAAAACACGTCTCACCTTACCGTCGTACATCTCGTCGTAGCCACACGGGTGTAGCCTCTGAAACGACACAAAGTGGAGGTGATGTGCAATGAGGAGGCATAAGTTAGACCGCATACGTAGACACACTGAGCAGAATTGCATGACCAGGCACCTGTGGAACAATATCGGAATCAGTGTCATTCACCAAGAGACTGAGAGGGTAGCGGTGGACACCTTACGGTATATTGTGCGTAGTGCTCGTGGGAGTCCCTTATTTCATCTCATAAGAGCCATATATAGCTTCACGGCATTCTTCATAATAACATGCCAAACTCAAACTAACTCAAAAATTCTCCCTCGCGTCCCAGAAAAAAGTATAAAGAGAATAGGATCGGTCTGTACACATGTATGTGTGTGTTTGTCAATAAGATTAAGTTAACAAGCAGTAGCTACAATTACCACAGAAGAGAGAGAAGACGTGTGCTAACTGTCTGTATGTATATATGTGACGATAATCCTCCAGTAGTGTTTGAGAAAAATAAAGACGCCCGAAAGCACTGCACATAGGGACCCGTGGGCCGGGGAGACAAGCGATGCGACCCGCGCAGGCGCGGGAGGACAGCTGAGTAGAGGGTCCACAGGGCGCCGGGAAGGGACCATTGACGTTCGCAGCAGGTTGTGTCTGGAATCTTAGGAGCTCTGAATTCTCGAGTATCCAAACTTAAGTCTGATGCCATTGCAGCAAGCAAACATCACATCGGCAGCAACGTTGGCGAAGCGAGTCACAGCGACGAGAAGGACCTTATCACAACAAGATGCACGACTAACCTGGTGAACTGAAGGAGGGAGAGCGCGGTGGCAGCGAGGAAGTCCACCTATGATCGCTAAGGAAGGGAGCCGTCGACCAGTGAATGCGCCGTAGCTCACGCAACGGCCTATAATGCCGGCAGCACTCTCGGACTCAGCACATCAATGATACCACTGCCAGCAACCACGGCAACATCATAACGTCCATAAAGGACATCACTTTAAAGGTCAAATTCATTTATAAGTGTACCAACACAGATAACCCTCAAAGGAGGGGACAACCTCACGATAAATAATAACCTAGTCCAAACACAGTGTGGTCCATTGATTTCGCAAGTTCTACGTACCGTAAGATGCTGGACTTGTACTGCCATAGTTCTATGTATGTACTCGCGGTAGGTGGACAGGACAGGACAAAGCGAGCAAAGTGACAGCACGCATCAGGACGACCAGGTTTGTGATGATAAATCTGTAAGTTGCACACCCGCCGACGTATA